GGGAGTCAATTTACTATCTAGGAATTAGCCCGTCCTGAAGGCATGGCTCCAAATGTCAGCATCAAGAATACAGAAAGTAGAAGGCTCGGAGACCCAAGCCTGTAATCCTGGCTACTTGGGAGCCTGACTGTGGTTCCAGGCCAACCCAGGCAAAAAAGTTCCTAAGATCCCATCTCAAAGGAAAAAGCTGTGGCATGGTGGTACAATCCTGTCATTCCAGCTATGGCAGGAAGCATAAAATAGGAGGGTCAGAGTCCAGGCCAGTCTGGGCCAAAAAAAAGCAAGTCCCTCTCTCAAAAATACCAGAGCAAAAAGGGTTGGAGGCATGGCTTAAGTAGTAGAGGGCCTGCCTAGAAAATTGTGAAGCTCGAGTTCAAACTCTAACACCACCCAAAAAGAAAGAAAAAAGGACACAGAAAGTATATGGGTATTACCCATATAGAGATGTAAGCCAGATTTTGTTTGAGAGAAAAAAAAAACCAATATTTCATGTTAAGAGACAAAAAATAGGGACAGTACCTACCGATTAGGCCCACTGGATGGAAAGGATCACCCAGAGACAGGGTGGGCTCCTCCCCTCCCCTTTTCCCTGATCAGCCAGAGACAGGAACTAAAACCCTCAGCTTGGGATGGCTAAAAGCCTAGAACAGCCAGGTGCTAGGGGCTTGCACCTATAATCCTAGCTACTTGGTTTTTTCAATGTTTTTGTTTTTTCTTGGCAGTACTGGGTTTGAACTCAGGGCCTCATGCTTGCTAGACAGGTGTGTTCTACCACTTGAGCCACTCCACCAGCCCTTATTTGTATTGGTATTTTTGGGTAGGTTCTCAAGTACTATTTGCCTGGGCTGGCTTCAAATTGCAATCTCCTGATCTCTACCCTGAGTAGCTTGGATTACAGGTGTGAACCACTGGTGACCAGTGATCCTAGCTACCTGGGAGGCTAAAATTGGGAGGATTGAGTTTGAGGTCCTATCCTAAAATAACCAGAGCAAAATGGACAGGTGTTACTCAAGCAGTTGATTGCCTGCTTTGCAAGCTCAAACCCCTGAGTTCAAACCCGAGTCCCACCCTTTACCTGGAAAAGTTAAGAATGCCTCAGGTGCAATACTATACAGCCTGACGCCAGTCCCACCTGTCAGGCCCTTGTATCCAAAGTCCAAAAGGATTAGAATGACTGAGTCCACCCAGCCATAGCTGGTATGAATTCCTGTTCCAGACACCAGCTCCTCTTCTGTTCCATGCCTGCTTGAACATCACTCAGCACAGCCTGCCTCTACCTCAAGGGACACACACCTTTCCTGGCTGACCTGGGGACTGAAAGCTTTGCCCACCATCTCTGCAGGGAAGAGCCTGTCTCCTTGGAGCCTGTCTCCTCTCTTCTGGAGCAAGATGACATTCCATCCAAGCCATGGACACACTCATTACAGACACAGGATCCAGTGTCTTTTAGCTGTCTTTAGGTTCTGTTGTTCCTCGTTTACCGATTTTACTCCCAATCTAGCTGCAGGCATTCTCACCAGTGCCCTCAAGGCTCTCACTGTGGTGGCCGGGCACCTTTCCTCTGACCTCCTGAGCCACTGGGCTGGGCTCCTGACTCAAGGACTGCCACTTGGCCTTGTGGATGAACCACCAGAATGGCACATGCCACTCCTCCCCAGGTCCCCAGACTACCTGGTAAGTCCCTGGGGATTCATGAAGCAATGGGAACTGGTAGACTATGTGAAGGGCCCTTGCAACCATGGTCCATGGTGAAGCTCAGGAGAGCTGCTGACATCCATCTCCTAGCCAGGATGTCTTTGGTACAGGACAAACCCAAGAGACCCACACCTGACCACATACTTGAGGCAGTCACCTTAGCACAGGATGCCCTAGCAGACAAGTGGACCCATCTTCACATGGATAATACACTACTGGACATAAAAGCTGTCCCCTCCAGGGTAGAAAGCTCTGGAATCACTGCCTCCCAGTACCCAAGGCTTTACATTACATGTTCCCTTACAGCAGGATAGTTGTGCCTGTGTCTGCCAAGTCCCCCATGCCTGGCTTAAACCTGGGTACAAGTTTTGGGACAATCTTCAGAGGCCACACCACAGTCTTTTCTTCTGTGTCACATCTCCCACTAAGCACACTGCGACACGGTTAGGGCCCACTGGATAATCTGGGATAATCTCGATCTCAAGGTCTTTAATTCAATTACACCTGCAAAGTCCCTTCACCACATGTGGTGACAGCCACTAGAACAGTTGAGTTCTGGTTGGAGACACTGTTCAGTGTGTTGGGGTCCACCCACTCCCTGACAATACCTGGGCTGGTGGCAGTCACACACTTTAATTCTTTAAATCCATTTGCAGCCCTGTAGGACATTAGGGTTTTATATGGTCACTGTCGTTAGTTTTACACTTCCTTCACACAAACATCTGCTCCTTCCATTCCCCCTGTTCCTCTGACCTTGACTGGGATCACTGGTCTGCTTGAAGGACATCATTTAATGTCCCCTCAATGGAAAGTGGATGGTGGCAAAGGGTCTCATGGTGTGTTTCTCTTACAGCACCTTCAGGTTTTGAAATCTCTTTGTGTGAGTGTTTTGTTTGTTTGTTTCTTTTGAGGCTGGGTCTCACTGTATTGCCAGGATGGACTGGAACCTGGGCCCAACTGATCCTCCTGCCTCAAACCCTTGCATGGGCTAGGAGTATAGGCTCAGATCCCCACACTCAACTTGGTGGACCAATTGCTATCTTTGCTTTTACCTCACACTCTTCATGTGTAATAAAGCTTTCAGAGCTGAAACAAAATGACATAATGACCCTTCTCTAAATACTCTGATCTCACAAGAACATCTCCATCCCAATCGTGATGCAACTGTGTCACTTAATAATCTTGGAATTCATCAGTAGGATTTGGATTCTACCAATTATCAAACTGGTAGAATCTGACCAATTTGGAAATTTGTCACTGGTAGAATTTTATTGAGCAATATACAGTACATATTCCAGGTTGTGAATTGTCCCAACATGCTCCATGTGACTAATCTTCTTTTCCTGACCCAGATCTATTCTCTGTAGCCAGTCCGCACATGGAGGACTTCTTTTAACCTTCTTGCAGGGAGGCTGCTGTCCTCTGGCAGATGATGATATGAAGCTGGAAATTTGGTTTCTGGCTTAACTTTGCTTTTAGGGTACAGCTTTCTGAGGCCCCTGTGCCTAAACCCCAGCTCTATCCCTGCCCCACCCCCCCATAGGAATGCCCAAGCCCCATGGCCTCTCTGGCTTACTTTCCTAACTGGAAATCCCCTCCGGGGTTGGGAGCCCAGTTGTTAATGCTTGGAAACCTTCTCCCCAGCTGCTGTCTGGCAGATTGTCACTGGCCTTGGTGGCTGTCCTGAGGAGGACAGGGGAGAGCTGGTGTGAAACAGTTCTTTCCCACTGCTGGGTTCCCCTCTCTTCAACTTTGTTTTTTGGCAGCACTGGGTTTGAACTCAGGGCCTCATGGCAGGCGCTCTTACTGTTTGAACCAATCTGCCAGCCCTTTTTGTGATGGGTTTTTTCTAGATAGTGTCTCAAAAACTATCTGAGGGCTGGCCTCGAACCACAATCCTCTCCTGAGTAGCTAGGATTACAGGCATGAACCACCAGCACCCAGCTCCTCTCTTCACTTTTAACATGGATTCTTCACTGTTACTTCAGCTCTTTAATGCTTTTAAGAATTGCTTTAAAATGTTTCATGCACCATTTTTAGCAGCTTTCTCTGGAGAGTTTAGAATGAGTCTCTCATCTGTGGTTCCTGGAAAGGTATTTCTGTGCTGCTGGTTTTTCCTGAGTCTGGCTCTGTAGACCTGGATTTTGCAGTCCTCGGCTTCCCAAGAGCTGGGATTATAGGCATGAACCACCACACTAGCCTTTCCCCCTCCTTTATTGCCTTTTACTTTTTAATTTTTTTCCATTGGTGAGGGAGAAGGCAGTAAGCCTTGTGCTTACTAGGCACACACTCTACCATTTGTGTTACGCCTCTAGCTCTCAACTGTTTCATATCACTCTTGTCCTCTCTGCTGGTTTGGAATTTGTGCACACCGTTTCTCTGTTAAGTGATTAATCATGATATCTTACAGCAATTTCACATAAACTGTAATGTTCAAAAATATCTTAATCCCCTTCCCCAAATAAAAAGATCCCAAAACACTAGCTGTAACACTCCTGCTTCCAATTCACAGCTTAACCATCCAGTGTCTAGGTTCTGCTGCTGAGCTGCTCTTTTCATGCTTGCTAAGCAGGTGCTCTACCATTTGAGCCTTCGTCTGGACAGTATATTGATTTAACTCCATCTAATACTCTGTATCTTGTTCCACCTTCCCCAGACATTCAGACGTGGCCACCCGGCTCCTCAAAGGTAAGAGACCACATCTGTTCTTTTACAAAAGCCCCATTTCAGCACAGTTTCTGCCAACGCCTAGTCCTTTTGACTAGTCCCCCACATCAACTCCATGAAGGCGGTCCTAGAGTGCCACCTTCAAATGTAGCCCGCACCTGACCAGCTCTTCGCACCTTTAACCATCACGGGGCTGAGCAGAACACAGCAGCCTGACTTGCCTTCAGGGTCCATTCGGCCTCTAGAGTCCCAAGCATTACCAAGAAGTAACGGGCGTGCTCCGACGAGGGCCGGCCTTCCTCCAAGCGCATCGCGCGTCCAGGCCTCGGTCCTCGGTCCTCGCAGCCACCGTGGTCTGCGCTGCGCAGTCTAGCGGGGAAGAGGCGCCTCCGGGACGCCACACTCGGGAAGCCAGGCCCTCGGGCCACCAGGGCCCCGCCCATCCAGGGCCTCAGAGGCTCGGCCCCGCCCCGCCCCACTGCACCGGGCGGTCACGTGGGGGCGCCACCCGGACGCGGAACCCGCCGTGGCTCAGGCCCGCGGGCCCTGGACTCGGGCAGATGCCGGACTGCCTGGCCATGCGCCCCCCGCGTCCCCGCGTCGCGCTGCTTGCGCTCCTGGCCGCGGTCCTGGCCGCGCCCCCCGCGGCCCTGGCCGAGACCCCTCACCTGGTGCGGGTGGACGCGGCCCGCGTGCTGCGGCCCTTGCGGCACTTCTGGAGGAGCACGGGTTTCTGGTGAGCGCCTCGCGTGGGGAAACTGAGGCCCGAGCCGCCCATCCGCGCTCTTGCGAAACTCGGGCCCGTAAGCCTCGTCCCCCACTTCTGGGATCCCCTTGGGCAACCTGGGCGCTAGGAGTGAGGACTTAGGTCCTTCCCCCGGGTCCATCCTGCATCAGGGTCTGTGGGGGTCGCCCCTCATGTTGGTTCCACGCCGTTTCTGGGGTACTGTGGAGGTTTCCTACCCGAATGGGTACCCCTTGTTCTGGAGGACTGGCGCCAGCCCTGGGCCTTTCCAGCGGCTCCACGAGGCTATGGCTGCCTGGTATCCAGGCTGTGGGCTCGGAATAGGCCTCCAGTGGACTCCAGGAGTGTCCCAATGGAGGCAGCCTCCACTGGGGTCAGTTGGACCTGACCCAGCCCTGCATGTCCCACCTCCCTCCAGAAGAGTGGAGACCCTCTTTTTCTCTCTGGCAGGTCAAATGTGGGGTTGGAATATGGTCTTCTGTCCTATATGAGGACACCACCACCACCACAAGGACTAAGCTACACAATTCCTGGTATAGGGTCATTTCGTTATTCATGGGGCAGGCACACACTGTCTGCTGGGCCTGCACAGTCAGGTGCCAGATGTGTGGAGATGGCTTGCTGCAGGCCCACTGAGGACAAACCACAGCACTCCTGTCCTGTCCCTAGCCCTCCACTGCCGCACAACCAGGCTGACCAGTATGACCTCAGCTGGGACCAGCAACTGAACCTTGCCTACATAGGTGCCGTCCTCATGGTGGCATTGAGCAGGTCCGGACACATTGGCTGCTGGACCTCATCACAGTCAGGTAGGTGATGCTGAGGTAGGGTCTGGGGGATGCTGACTTGAGCCTCTTACAGATTCTGAAGAGGAGGCAAGCCTGGCCTGGTTGGGGACCAACTGCTTTGGTGGACAGTGCTGGGCTGCCGGTGAAGGAGCATTTGTAGTGGGGCACAGGGCAGGGAGCTGCTCTGAGAACACACTGCTCCTGCATTTCCTGTCATAGCACCCTTTTGGAGAGGGGAGGAGGGAGACATCCTGGCTGACTGCCCTAGGGACCCTGGGTTCCCTGTGTGCTGATGGAGTACAGCTGGCTTCCTCCTGAAGGTCACCCGGAGGTTCAGGTGGGGTTGACACCCACGGCACTTGGCTTTGTGTGCGCACACACATGCTGTGTGTGTGGTTGCCACTTGAGCTGCACCGGGTCACTGTGTACAAGCCAGGCTGAGGTTGTGTTGGTCACGTCACTTTTGACCCCGACATTGGGGCAGCTGCTCTGGAGCAGGTGGCTGCTCTGTGAGGCCCCACCAGAGATGAACAGTAGATATGAGGAGCACTTGGGTGTGGATGGACTTCCAGAAATACAGACCCTCACACCTTGACCATATGTCAAGCTCCAACCCGGTAGGGTAAGGGCTGGGCAGGCTTGGGGATAGGGTGTCCTTTTGGCACCTTAGAAGTCATATAATTTGCATTACTTTGTCCAAATAAGATGGCAATACAAGAGTGGCAGACCAGGACAGCTCTTATGAGCACCAGCTAAGAGACTGCGTGGGTGCTGGCACCAGGGCTGAGCACACACCACAGGGGCAGCACTTGTCTCAGAAGCAGAGGTTCTTGGTCACTGAACATTTGTGGTTCTTAAAGTGTTATTCTTTTTTTTTTTTTTTTTTGGCTGTACTGGGGCTTGAACTCAGGACCTCATGCTTGTTAGGCAGGCACTCTGACCACCTGAGCCACTCCGCCAGCCATTTGTGGTTCTTGATCGCTGAGAATTTAAGGTTCCTTGGCTTCTCCAAGGTGGAGGTGACCCAGGGATGCACCTTTTGGATGACCCCAGCCCTTGCGGTGTCCTTGGGAAGGGGCTCAGTGACAGCCTGCAGACAACGGCCTCAGCTCTCAAAAGGGAGTAGAGGCTGGTGAGCAGGCCCTGGCCCTGCTAGAGGGTAGAGTCGGCAGTTATCAGCTCCCCTTGGTGGACAAGCGCAGCCTCCACGGCACTGTGCACGCTGGGGAACAGCTGCTCATCCTCTGCCCCCTGGTCCTCCCCCAGAAAGCCCCCCCTCCTCAGTGTATCCCTCACTGAGGGACTGCAGCAGGCCAGGAGCAGGGCCACACCCAGGGCCCTGTAGTCCCTGCGCAAGTCCTGCAGCGTGGCCATGCCAGCAACATCCAGGAACAGCAGTGGGGCACAATCAATGACCACTGTGTGGAAACCAACTGCCAGGGGCTCCAACCCAGCCCCGCTGCTCAGTGAACCCATGTTTTTGCGATCAGCGGGGCCTCTCTCACTGACACCCACCTCTGGGCTCTGCTCCTTCCTCCTGGCAGCCGAGCGCCCTGCATCCAGCCCTGTGAGGCTGTAGAGTGACTGCAGGAAGAAGTCTTTGTTGGCATAGTACAGTGGCCCGGTGAAGCGAAACACCTGCACTCCGGGTGGGGGCAGGAGGCCCTCAAATTCTGTGGCATCCTCATAGAAAGCTGAGTCCCCGATGCGGGCAAGCAGGGTGGCCCTTGGGCGCTGTGTGCGGCCTACCAGGCTGAGCAGTGAGAAGAGCACCCCAGCCAGCAGCCCGGCCTCGGTGCTGACCAGTATGCAGGTGGCTGCAGTGGCTACCCAGACCAGTGCATCTGCCGGGCTCAGCCGCCATAGTTGCGGAAGTTCCTTTGCCTTGCGTAGGGCCCCCCGTAGGCTGACAACAATGACACAGGCCAGCACGCACCGCTGCAGATCTCGGAACAATGGAGCCAGCACCAACAGCACCAGCAGCACCACGGCCGCGCTGACACGCTGGACACTTGTGTTCGGCAGCCAGTGGCCGTCCTCACCAGGCTCTTGGACAGGGTGGCACTGGTGGCAAAGCAGTGGAAGAAGGAGGGAACACATTGCAGCAGCCCACGGCCAGCAGTTCCTGGTTGGCACGGATGGAGTAGCCATGGCTTCGGGCAAACATCTCTGCCAGAGAGATGGAGAAGGCCGAGCCCACAAGGGCGAGGGACACTGCATCTAGTGCCACACGCCACATCAGCCTGGGGTCTGGCACTTGCGGGGCCACAAATCCAGTGGGGATGTCGCCAGCCACACTTGAGCCAAAGTGCGCGTGGAGCTGCCCAAAGTGGGACACAAGTGTGGCCACCACGATGACTAGGAGTTCTGTGGGCAGTGGTACTCTCAGGTGGCGCCGGCACCGGTCTGACAGCTCCTTACCTGCCAGCAGTACTGCCAGGCACACAGTGCTGGTGACCACGTCACACACGTTGGCCTGTCCCACACTGTGTAGCAGGCTCAGCCATGTCCTGACCACCATGCCTGGGCCCTGGTGCCGAGAGATCCTCACACCTAGCATGTACTTGAGCTGTGAGGTCAGGATGGTCACAGAGGCCCCCATGGCAAAGCCATCGAGCAGCGGTTGTGAAAGGTAAGTGGACACAAAGCCCAGCCGGAAGACACTCATGAGGACCTGTGGACAAAGTGTGATCAGTCAGGTAGGCCACCTGGCAGGAGCCACATGCCCCATGTCACCAGCACCCAGCATTGCCCAAGGGTGTGGTCACAGCACAAAGCCTTATTTCTCAAATTGGACTCCTCTCACAATCCCATGTTCCAAGTGCCATGCATGTACCAGCTGATACTGGGACACACATGTAGAGTTGGCCATGGATACTCACTTCTCACCCTCTCAAGCATGCAGAAATTGATTTTGTTTCAGAATGGGGGCTCTGGGCTGCAGAAAGCAACCTCTTCTTTCTGCGTCCTGCACACTGACACTGCCCACCCAGCTCCCTCCTGTGAAACCATGGAACTGACAGTAGGGATGGGACAGACAGGCCTAGGCATGAGACAGGCCTAGACAGGAAGCCCAGGAGGACACATGGGCTCATTTAAGCCATGACCACACTTTTAGGCCCACTGGCCAGGCCAACTCCCTGTGCGCCTCATCTCCTGCACTCTCAGCCCTTTGGGTGGGGCCCTTGCATGCCCCACCTCTGTCCTTGTCTTGTTCCACTTTCTCTGAGACCCTGAGGCTGAAGGACACGTCCTCTGGCCCTGACCTCTACTTCCTCCATGGTTTTCCTTGTTGGTGTCTGGCAAGCACCTCGGGGGCAGCCCTGAGTGGCTGAGTCAGCCATCCCTGCCCACTATGCAGCCAGTTGCTCACCTGGTAGATCCCGGACACCAACGTGAGGGCGGTGGCAACACGGATGGCGTAGCAGTCCCTCCCACAGTCCTGCAGCCCAAGCGCCAACATGGGGTCTGAGCTGTTGAGGGCACTGCTGTTGTCCCTGGGCCCTGGACCATCCTGGGAGCGGTCAAGGCCAGCCAGCTGGAGCTCGCGATCCACCACCTGTCCCACCATGAGGCACAGCAGACTGAAGATGCCCACAGAGACATGGTGTGATGAGCCCATGAGGAAGTAGATTAGGTTGGCAAAGAATGAGGTGTAGAGGCTGTAGATGGGCTGCAGCCCAGCCAACAGTGAGTAGGCAATGGACTGTGGTATCAAAATGATACCAATGACCAGCCCAGACATGGTGTCACCTGCCAGGCACTCCTGTGGGCGGTAATGACGTAGCCAGCGTATGGCAGGGATCAGGTCCTGCAGCAAGGCCCGGGCACGCGGCACGCTGCACGTGCAGCTCTGCATCAGCTTGGCCTTCAGTGTCTCCAGCAGGCCCTGAGGTGCTGGGGGCTGCCGTCGGACCAGCACCAGTGCCCTGCCCTGTTTTGGGGGCTCCAGGGAGGCATCCATCCTGCCACACAACCTGCAAGGGACAGTGGTCATGGTTGGGAACCTCAGAGCAAGGAGCCAGCATCAAGTGAGAAGGACCAGGCAGGAATGTCCACCCCTGGCAGCAACATCACCCTGTCCCGACAGCAGGGCCCCCAGATCCTTTGCTCTTTGTGAATGGATGTCAGGCCTTGAGCTCCAAAATCAATTCTGTCTGGGGGGATGTGACTTGGTGTGGGAGCTGGGGCTGCTCAGGATGCTCAACAGACTTTCTGTCCACATTCGGCCCCAGCCCATAGGCTCTGCAGCTCCTCCCCGAAATCCACCAAAAGCAGCCTGAAGGTCACTTCCCCAAAGGGAGAAGTGTTTGGGCCTCCACCTGCGTACATATATGTCAGGCCAGAGTATGCCAGAGAGGCAGATACACAACTGAATACGAGCTCCCCCACTCTTGTCCACCTCCCTGGTTTGGCAGAGGGCCTCGCCGTCCACACCAGAGTCCCCTGCCCCACATCACCTGCTCTCCTGTGGACACTGTAGGCCTTGGGACTGGCAGAGGAGACCTCCTGCCCCTATCAGGAGATGGATGCCAAGGCCCCAAATCGGTGCCGCCCTCCTTGTGCCAGAGTAATGAGAGTGAGCTCAGACAGTGCCCCACAGGCCAGCTAGGGGCAGAGCTGGGGTGACTGGCATCCATCCTTATGCTCAGGGTCTTATAGGACTGGGGGAACCCTTTCCAAAGGCACAGGGACAGTGAGCTAGCATGTTGCTTAGTAGACAATGGCCTGGTCACCCCAGCACCCCCTGACCTTTCCTGGGCACAAGTACTCAGGCCACACTGACGACATGAGCAGCCTTGGGTCTGTCCTATTTACACGTTCCAAAGTACTTGTTTTTAACCCCCCCCACCCCGGCTTGGCAATGTTAAGCAAACACTCCTTGTTCCCTTGTAGCCCAGGACATGGTCATGCCTGTGTGGAGCCCACTGTTTGTGCCTGGCTCTGGGCACAGGGGAAGCAACTTCCCTGGGAGAGTAAGGTGGTGGTCCCAGCCAGGGGATGGCCCAGCCCTTTAGGAATATATGGAGAGTAATGACCCTTTCCTTCAAAGGCCCACCACATAGGGATCTCTAGATGCTCTGAGGCTCACCCTGAGTCCCTAGGGGTCTAGGTGTGTGTAGAACTGCTGTAAATGCTACCTGCCTTGTGCCTAAGCATTCCCCAAAGAAACAGAGGGATCTAGGCTCCTATTTCTCCGAGAGCCACCTCTGCTATAGCAGGATCGTCCAGGGTATGGAGATGATTCTTACCTGGGGGTTGCCTCACAGGCTCAGTGAGCTATGGGAAATCCAAGGGGTAGGGCCTTCTGGTGGGCTGGACCCCCTGAGCACTCTGGCTTCTGTTAGCAGGTGGAGAGCAGGGGCAGCAGCAGGTCTGAGGCTGACCTGTGGGAAGCACTTGGTGCTGGGCCTGCTGTTAAATTATTTACCCCAAAGATAGCTGAGTCATGGGTTTCCCTCTGACCAGTGAGTGTTACCTGAGCAGTTAATCCGGTGAGCTAATCCTGGGAGTTGTACTGTAATCAGAGGCTCACAAATAATTACAGTTGTGTGGGCCTCTGATAAGCCCTCAACTGCTCAGGAGTGGGGGCTCCAGGTACAGCAGCTTCAGTCCTGTGAAGAGGGATGGGTGTGGGGGTGTGAATGGCTGGAGCCTGGGTGTCTAGAGCCCTAGCAGGACTGAGCACAAGCATCTTGCACCCTCTAGCCTTGGGTCTAGGGTCAAGTGTAATAAATAGTCTCACAACATGCCCCAGGAGGGGAACTGAGGGAGGCTGGTCCCTGCCTAATTCCTGGGTTCCCCTCTTCCTTGCAAGGAGCCTAGTCTGGCTGGTCCAAGCTGGAGCAATGCTGGGAGGCTTTAACAAGACAGCTGGACCCAATGTAAGTACATCCTCAGCCTCTGGTCCTTGTCCTTGTGTAGAAGGCAGGCACAAGGCTGCTGGTATACATGTATTCATGTTCTGTAAGCACATGCCTGTGTATAGTGCATGGCCCAGGGTAGGAGAGCTGTCAGGCATTGAGACAGGTGTGTCCTTTCTGCCCTTAGTGGCAAGGTGTCCTGGTTGACCTCAGTTACAGACCCACCCCAGTGCTGACCAACTGTAACTCTAGTCAGGTGACCAGCCCTCATGCACCTCTGATCTCTGCAGATAAATGGCCTCTTAGAATGGATTCAACTAGTGCCCTGAGCCACTTAGGGAGTCAGCCCTAAGGCTGAGCTGCTGTTTTTAAGCCAGAACCTCAGATCCCCATTTTTTTTTTTTTTATTGTGGTACTGGAGCTGAACTCTGGGCCTTCACCTTGAGCCACACAGACAGCCCTTTTTGTGATAGGTATTTTCGAGATAGGGTCTCATGAACTATTTCCCCTGGCTGGCTTCAAACCATGATCCTCCTGATCTCTGCGTCCTGAGAAGCTAGGATTACAGGCATGAGCCACCAGTGTCCAGCACCTCAGGTCCCCATCTTGAAGTGAGTGATGTGTCCCTTATACCAGGTGCTTGAGAGTAAGTAGTTGTAACAGGCCTGGCTCCCTTCCATGGGCTAATGTAGCCTGGGCGCTCCCTGTCCTGGATGAAGGCCCTACAAGCTGTAGTAAGTCCCTTTAGTGGGGCTGGAAGACTGAGCTTGTTGGCCTACCAGCCCTGGAGCATTCTGGCTCAGGCCTGGGCACAGTGAAGCTACCAATTGTCCTCGGGAACCTTGAGAGGGGAATTAGGATCAACAGGTGTCTTGCAGAATCAGCTGGGGCCCTGGGGCTCCATTCCTCCCAGAACACGGGACAGTAAGATGTTTCAGAGCCCCATTGAGGCCACAGGTTGGAACCTCCTCTGGGAAGTCTCCAAGTCCGCAGGCTCTCTGCAGCTATAGGCTTGGCCAGGAAACACCAGGAGCCCCATTTGGGGAAGACACAGCAATGGAATGTGGGTGGAGTGGCCTGAGTGGGAAGCCTGACGACAAGGCTAGGCAGGTGGATACAAGAGCTTGAATACCCCTTCACCTTTGCTCTCAGGCCCACCCCCCCCCAGGATACTGTTCTCCCTCCCCAAATCTGATTGCTGCTCCTGGAAGACCCTGTCTTGAGCCCCAGGGCCTCCCCTTGCTCTGCCCCACCTCTGTGGGTCTGCCACCAACCCCTACTCCCCACGGGCCCACTGCTTGCCCAGCAGTTGGGCACTGTGGCTTGCAGGGACTGCTTCCCAGTGGTTAATGTGGGGCGGGGTGTGGTGAGTCAGAGCAGTTCTCCCCTGGGCAGATGAGGGGCCCCTCTGGTGACTGAGGGTACCATGAAAGGATAAGTTCTTCAGATACCTGCGGAATGGCAGCTGGAGAACGCCCCGCGGGACCTCTTAGGTCTCCCAGGAGGAGGTCAGGGTCCCAGTTGTGTGTGGGGGAAGATCCTGGGTCCACTGAGCAGAGCACACCTGCAGACACAGAGGCGCTAGCACATTGAGGGGGAAGGAGTGTGTTACCTTGGCAGCACAGGAAAACAGCATAGAAGTGGCCCCTTCCCTGAGAACCTGGGTGGGAGGGATTGGTCCTGACGCCCCACCCCTCCCTGCCCTGGTCTGGGTGTCTACAGCAGGTGAGGAGATGCACCTGAGGTCACATTGGCCCAGTGAGAATTGTCTCATGGTCCATTTATCCTCCAGCCTCAGTTTCTCTGTGTATTGAGATCAGTGCTGCGCTCTGGTCAAGTACCCTCTCCCTCCCCTGGGCGCCCACTGAGCTGCAACTGGCTCACTGCTAGGTCCATACAGGACAGAGACTGGAGTGCCTTAGGACCCTGCTCATGCCAGCAAGCCTCTTTGGTCTTGTGCGTCCTGGTGATTTCCTTCCTTTTATCTTAAAATCAACTGTTTAAAAATTGAGTGCATTTATTTGGAAAGGAAACATTGTATCCCTTCCACAAGTAGAAAGAGATGGGGCGGATCGGGCTTTGGGACCAGTTCCAAATGACCCTCCCCCCGGGCAGACGCGCTCCTGTTGCCAGAGCAGATGGGTCCGGACCCATCCAGGCCCACGGGCCAGCTGGGCTGCAGGTTCTCCCAAGAGGCGGGTCAGTGCCCAGGAGCTCCACGCACTGCCCCTCTGCTGCCTGTGAGCACGCGCGGCCCGGCTCCGCACGCCTCAAAGCATGCGCGGTCTTAGTCCGTGCATTGCTTCCCCCAAACCCCGCGCACCCTCCATTGCACGCAGGTCCTCATCCGCTCATTTCCCGCATTCACTCCTAGCCTCTGCCCCGTGCACCCCCCACGCACACCAAGCTCTGCCCCCTCATCCCCCATGGACTCCCGGCCCTTACCCGCTCATCCTCCCGCTGAGCCCCACTCCCTGCACCTTCGGACCCCGCCCCGCGCATCCCCACTCGGAAGCGCGGTCCCGCAACTCATCTCCCCGCCGCGTACCCCGTGCACTCACCAGGCCCAGCAGCCGCTGGGTCCTCGCGGCGCACGCGCTCCGCCGGGGAGTGGGGGGCAGGGGCGCTGGAGTAGCCGGACCAGCAGCCAGCGCGCGGTGAAAGGGCCGCTGTGTGGCCTCACTGATGCCCATGCTGGGTCTGGCCGGGTGGAAGGGCCTGAATGCATATGCGGCCCAGGATGCTCTAAGAGGTGTTGGGGTGGGCTGCGCACTTCATCTCACCTGCTCAGCCCCCTCTCCATTTTAGGCCTCTCAAATCCCCCTCCCAACGGGGGCCAAGGCGGAGGGGGACATACACCATAGGGTAGAAGGGCTGTTCCCTGAGGTTCCTTACCTGGGGAGGCCCCCTGGAAGTATCTGGGTGCCCCTGAATCCTTACCTGGAGAGGCCGGCAGGACCCGCAGACACTGGAGTCCACCCAGTGTGACAGGCTGGGGACATTGAACACCTGCCGAGGTCTGTCTGCACCCCACCTGGTGTGGGCACAGCCTGGATTATTGCCATCCTCTGCAGTTTATGGAGAAAGCGTGTCCTTACCTCAATGCTTTCGGGACTTTGGAATCCATCCACAGATGGAGCATTTAATTTTTATCCAAGTCTGGCTACTGGTTGTGACCTTTGGATGGGGGCAGTGGACCCCCGCTGTGCATTGCAGCTCCTAGGTAGAGGGGCCAGCCAGGGAGAAGCATGATCTGGGCCTGTGGGCTGTGGACTCCTGCCCAGGCTCTGACTTGACCTTGTACAGGGAGGAGCAGAAGGAGGTATCCAGTTATCCAGACCTGCAGTATCTAGGGGTCAGTGCTAACTGTAGCAAAAGAGAACAGTTTAGGGCCAGACTCCGCCATCTACTGTGGCCACTGTCCCTGCTGCCCGCCATCCCACCCCAGAGAAACCCATGGACTGCTTTGCATGTCAGCTCGGGGGACATGTCCATAGAAAGCCATTAGACCCTGGCTGCCCCTCACACTGGCTGTTGCGTTCCCCCACAGCTCAGCACTTGGGGCTAAGGGTCTTCCACAGCCGAAGACCCCTGAGCACCAGCGTCCTTCCCTATACCACCCTCAGATGGCCAGATGCACTCTACAAAACCAGCCCCATCTTCCTTCAAGCTCATCCTCCTGCCCAGCTGCTTAAGCTGAAATCCACAAGGTTGTCTTGGACACTGCTGGCAATTCACCTGTCCAGCAGCAGACACTGCCCTGGTAGCTCTCCCTGGGAACCTGTTCCAATTCCTAGCCACTCTTCCTGCTCCTGCTCTGACCCCAATTAGCTGCCACAGGGGACTTTGCAAAACATGGTGTTGTGCGCTCAGCAACCTTACAGGGCTCCCATTTTGCTCTGAGTCATGTCCCATGTTGTCACAAGGTCCCATGTAATCTAATCTCCCAGATTTACACCCTTACTTTGCCCTATGCCCATCAGCCACCTTTCTGCTCTTTACATGAGTTTGTTCCTACCTCAGGGCCTTTGTATGTGTCTGTTCCCCCAGATGTTCTCATCGCTGACTGGTCCCATCACTCAGCAAGTCTTTAATGTTACCTCTACAGAGTGATCTTATTTCCCTGACCCTCTGCCTCCTTCAACCAATCACATCTCTGTCAACAAACACCTGATGTTCTATTAAAATTTTCTGATGGCCCTTGTTCCTCTTAGGATGCAAGCCCTGTGGGAATTGGCTAGTCTGGGACAGTGAGGGCTGGGGGAAGCTGTCCATCTCCCTTTCTTTCCCATCCATGTTGCCTCTTGGAGTGTGAGGGAAATAAGGATACTGTCAGTTCAAATTTGGTGCCCTGGTCTCCAAACAGGGTAGAGTGTCCACTGGGTTCTGCCTGGCACCTGTCCTGGCTCAGCTGTCTTCAGGATACCCTATCACCTTTCTACCCTGTCCCACTCCTGTCCTGATGGACCCTTTCCATAACATATGGCTGCCCTTCCCACCCCCAGTCTCATGGCTGTCCTGAGCCCCAGCCCAAGTCTTCAATCTCTTGGAGGCTTCATGGTAGGGTTCCCTACCATGAAGGGTTCTAGTTCATACTAGACTGTGAGTGGCAGAGGCTTCTATAAGTGTCGGTGTTTTCCAGAGGGAAAGGCCTATCATGAAGCCTGGATCATCTTGTGTGGTACCTTGCAGGCTCCCTGACTGTTTGAATGTGGCCACAGTTCATCTGGGGGACTGAGATGCCTTGCTGCTCTCCTCCAACTTGACTGTCATTCAGCAGGGGATCATCTGAGCAGGGCCTGAGCTACAACTTCACCCATCTGGACTCATACCTGGACCTTCTCAAGGAAAATCAGCTCCTCCCTGGTGAGCAGCAGCCCTGCCTTCTCACTATCCATCCCCTCTTGGTTCTGGCTCATGGTGGTGGCTGGGGACTGGCCAAGGGGCTGGCAAGGTAGAGCCCAGGCTGGGTGGGGCATGGGTGTTGGTTAGCAGGGCACCCACCCTCTGTTGCAGGATTTGAGCTGATGGGAAGCCCCTCAGGACACTTCACTGACTTTGAGGACAAGCAGCAGGTGTTTGAGTGGAGGGACCTAGTCTCCCTCCTGGCCAGGAGATACATTGGTGCGGTGCTGGAGAGGGGGAAGCCCTGGGGGCTGTGGTGGGTACTCCTGTGTAGGCTTTCCTCTCTCATCACCCAGGCCACCCGGCGTTCTTCTCTGTCATGGTTCCCCTCTCTGACGTGGTCTCTCCCTCAGCCAGGGCTTCCTGAGGAGGAGGCTGGCTTTGAGTCAGATACCCTCATCATGTCCAGACCTCCAGCTGTGGGCAACCAGCCCTAGAAGTGTGGGTGGGTTCCACCCCAGGGGACCTAAGTGTGGAGTTTGTATGCTCTGCAGGTAGATATGGACTGGAACATGTTTCCAAGTGGAATTTTGAGACCTGGAATGAACCAGATCACCATGATTTTGACAATGTGACCATGACCACACAAGGTGGGTGGGGCTTCCTGGGTCCTGTGGGGTGAGGCATACTGGGGAGGGCCCTAGGAGAGCTTGGTGCCTGTGGGAACCCTCCTGCCCCAGGCTTCCTGAACTACTACGATGCCTGCTCTGAGGGTCTGAGCACTGCCAGCCCTGCCCTGTGGCTGGGCGGCCCTGGTGACTCCTTCCACCCCCCGCCACGGTCACCCCTGTGCTGGAGCCTCCTGGGTCACTGCGCCAATGGCACCAACTTCTTCACTGGTGAGGTGGGTGTGCGGCTGGACTACATCTCCCTGCACAAGAAGGTGAGCACTGCCCTGCCCCACCCTGCCCCTGGCTGCAAACCAAGCCGATGATGCTGAGGTGTGGCTGGCCGCAGGGTGCGGGCAGCTCCATCTCCATCCTGGAGCAGGAGGAGGCAGCAGTGGAGCAGATACAGCAGCTCTTTCCCAAGTTCAAGGACACCCCCATTTATAACGATGAGGCAGACCCTCTGGTGGGCTGGTCACTGCCACAGTCTTGGAGGACAGACGTAACCTATGCAGCCATGGTGGTTAAGGTGTGCCTGACCCCACCCTTGCTGTCCACCGCATCTATGGGCCAGCCTAGCGGGGACTTCCTCCTGGTGGGTGGGTGGCCATCGGTCCAGGTTCCAGCCACCCACGCACCTGCAGGTCATTGCACAGCACCAGAATCTGCTCATCGCTAACACCAACTCCTCCATCCGCTATGCGCTCCTCAGCAATGACAACGCCTTCCTGAGCTACCACCCACACCCCTTTTCCCAGCGTACGCTGACTGCCCGCTTCCAGGTGAACAACACCAGCCCGCCCCATGTACAGCTGTTGCGCAAGCCGGTTCTCACTGGGATGGGACTGCTGGCCCTGCTGGGTGAGCCATGTCTTTTTGCTTCTGCATGTGTGGGGTCAGACTGGAAATAGGCCATGCCAGGGTGGGTGAAGACCAACAGAGAAGGAGCTGGGTGGCTGACCCTGGAGTAGCATGCACAGTAAGGTGTGCAAAGGCACTGAGGCGGGGTGGAGGGGGGGAAATGGACGTTTTGGGTGGGGGAGGGGCAAGCTGTGCTTCCTCCAGTTCTGTGGGTTTCTTGGGACTTGTCCTCCCAAGTCTCCCCCCTCATTCCCTCCAGCTCTGTGGGCTGGGAGGTGTGGCTGGACCTTCAATAACAAGAAGAGCAAATGGTGGGGAGCCAGGCACTCGGCTGGTGGAGGGGCAGTTGCTCCACACAATGACAACCCTGACCCCCCCACCCCTGCCCTTTAGATGAAGAGCAGCTGTGGGCTGAGGTGTCACATGCTGGAACAGTGTTGGACAGCAACCACACAGTGGGCATCCTGGCCAGCACCCACCACCCCAAGGGCTATGCTGAGGCCTGGCGTGCCACAGTGCTGATCTACGCGAGTGATGACACCCTCACCCACCCCAACCGCAGCATCCCCGTGACACTGCGTCTAGATGGGGTGCCCCCTGGCCCAGGTGAGCCTGGTCCTGGGGAGACTGGGTGGGGCCTGGAACAGTTGAGCCCGATGAGGTGAACCCCAGCACCTGGTTCTGCAGGGCTTGTCTATGTTGTGCGTTACCTGGACAACCAGCTTTGTAGCCCGGACCATGAGTGGCAGCACATGGGCCGGCCGGTCTTCCCCACCGCCAAGCAGTTCCGGCGTATGCGCACAGCTGAGGTTTGTAGGGTGGGGGATTGGGGTGGTTGAGTCAGGGATGCCCTTAAGCCCGTGAGAGTCTCACTAACCATGCGCTCCTCATTTTCCCCTAGGACCCAGTTACCACAGCACCACACCCCTTCCCCTCCAGGGGTCACTTGACATTGCACCCCAAGCTCTCACTGCCCTCACTCCTGCTGGTGCACGTGTGTGCACGCCCCTCAAAGCCACCAGGCCAGGCAAGTGACAGTTTCCCACCCCACCCTGTCTAACCCTGTCACATCCTCACCGTCCTTCCTTCCCCTAGGTCAGCCGGCTCCGTGCACTGCCCCTGACACAAGGGCAGCTGGTTCTGGTCTGGTCCGATGAGCATGTAGGCTCCAAGTACGTGAGTGGGATCATTGTCCTCCCCGCCGCATCCGGCAGCAGAGTCCCCACCAAGTCCTCACCCCAGTGCTTCTGGCAGCTATACTCCTGTGGTCACTCTTGTTATGCTGTCCAGTTCTCCATCTCCACTGGCAGAACATCTCTGCCCTTCCCTCCCGCCCCCCACACACAGCACACACCTGCACAATCCACCTGTATCTAGGCTGTGGGGACACCTACACCAGACATTTAAAGCCATGTAGGGGTCCAGCCCTCTTCCCTCACCTAGTGTGGCTTGTCATCATTATGAGAGTAACCAGGAACATCAGGAGGGGCTGCAAAGGGACTAGAATTGTGGGTCCACCCTGCCCCTGTCCACCCAGGCCTTCAGAGGCCATACGATCTCAGCCTTGCCACCAACATCAGTCCTGACCTTGACTTTCTCAGGTGCCTGTGGACATATGAGATCCAGTTCTCCCAGGATGGTAAGGTGTACACCCCAATCAGCAGGAAGCCATCAACCTTTAACCTCTTTGTGTTCAGTCCAGGTACGCCCACCACCCATTGCCCTAGCCTTGGACACCACCATTGCTGGGCCTCAGCACAGTACAGGACAGGGTGAGGCCTGGGGTCTTTAGGGACTTGAGGTAGGTTCATATGGGCACATGTGTCCTTTGTGTCTGCAGACACTGCCATGGTCTCTGGCTCCTACCGGGTTCGAGCACTGGACTACTGGGCCAGACCAGGACCCTTCTCGGAGTCTGTGCCATACCTGGAGATCCCTGCCTCCTGAGGGCCATCAGCTCCTGGTGAACTCTGAGCCTATGCTGACCAGTGAACCCAGGCATCCAGGAGCTAAGATGGGCTGGACTTCCACTGGCCAGTCAGTTAACTGTCAGCTCCATTTGTCTCCCACCATCTGTTTAAAGTACCTTTAAAGTGCTTTTCTACACCTCAGTCTTGGGTTTAGCCTTTGTGGATGGGGACTGGGTGGACATGGTGGCCAGCACAAAGGGAGAAGCAGAGTGGGTGGTGAAGTCCCACTAGAGTGGCCTTTTGCTGCCTCCCTCTCAGAGCCCTGACCCTGAGTGGGAGGCTGCTGGAGGGCTTCTGGGCTCCACATGGTAGAGGAGCATCCTGGGGAAGGCAGTCCCATTCCTGCCCCCAGCATTCATCTTTGTTCTGTGAGTAGGGAGCTGAGGCTACTCAACCATGGACGTCTGCATCCCACCACAGTAGAGGGTGAGATGGTGTATCCCTACCTGACCCAGACTGTGGCCAGCAGCAGAAAAGGCTGGCAGGGTCCACTGTGATCTGTATCTTACCCCCTCCCCAGTCATCCTGGCTCCTTGTTTGGGCCTAAAAGGAAACAGGCAATATGCTCACATAAGGATCCTTTGGTGACTGTTCACACAGATGTGGGCAGGGGACAGGGACACAGTATGGTGCAGAGCCACTCCTTGGGGTAGAGTGGATCCATGAAGGGTCCAGACAGAGAAGGATGTATAGCAGAGAGTTTTTGCCCAGAGATACAGCCAGCCTGTGGGTCCTGGTGCTGGGAGTAGGAGCCCCAGTCTCACCCTTTGCTGTCCCTGGCCATGAGGACTGTCCTCAGCTGGGGACTGTGATGCAGGGACACAACACACTTTCCTGGAGGTGGTCTTCCTGGGGCTCCTGTGGGGGAGGGACATGGGTCTGTCCAACCAGCTTCCCTGCACCTCCTGCCCTTGTCCAAGGGCAAAGTTCACGTGCCCTGGGCAATCACAGACAGTGATGCCGACATAGCTGTCCCTGGTGTCTCCTCCCCATGGGGCCACGTCGCCATCTTTGCTATGAGAGCAACCCCTACCTGGTTAGGTATCCTCTCCCAGCCACACCATCCTCTAGCCCTGCTTATGGGGAGGCTTTGGCCTTGCTGTTGGGGGTTGGGCTTCCAGCTGTGCCAAAAGCTAGCGGAGTCCATATTATTCCTGATACTATGGCCACCTGCTTGAGCCCATGGGCAGACACTAGGGTGGCAGAGAGGCTGCCCAGCATCCCTGTTTGTGAGATCCTACACTGGAGTGGATGCCCTCAGGATGAGTGCAGTCATTTCTGAGGGCACAGGACACTTGCTGCCTGGTCTGGAAGCCCACTACCAGCCTGTTCCTTGGACCTTGTCCCCAGGCTTCCCATGTTTGTCTTTCTGGGTCTGGCTAAAAGTCTTGGATGCTGTCTGAGGAGAGCCATGCTTAGACTATATATTAGTAAAATTTCTCTTCACTGTGACAGAATGCTTGACAGAAATAATTTAAGGAAGGATTGATTTGGCTCACAGTTTTAGAGGGTTCAGTCTGTGGTCGCTTGGCCCCACACACTTGGGCAGAACATGGTGGAGCAGGTTCTTAACTCATGGCAGACAGGAAGCAGAGAAAGAGGAAGGTACCTGGGACCAGGTGTAACCTTCAAAAGCACGCCCCCAGGGACCGCTTCTTCCAACTAGGTCCTATCTCCTGAAGTTTTCAGAACCTCCCAAAATTGTGCCACCAGCTGGAGACCATGCATTCAACACCTGAGCCTCTAGGGGACATCTCATATCCAAACCATAACATTCCACCCCTGGTCCCCAAAAGGTCATGGCTATCTCAAAATGCACTTAGTCCATCTCCAAGCATCCCCAAAGTCTTAATAGTTCAAACATTGTTCAAAAGTCCAAAGTCAAAATCTCTTCTGAGACCCAAGGCAAACTCTTAGTTGTGAGCCCTTGTAAAATCAAAAGGAAAGTTACATACTTCCCAAATTCAATGTTTACAGAACAAACATTCCCATTCTTGCAAAAGCAAGACCTAAGCCCAGCAGGGTGAACATTAAATCCTGTACTTCAGTATCTGGCATCTGGGGCACATGGTGTTGTGATGTGAGCTCCAACTGGCTTAGGCAGTTTGGCCGTAGCCCACACGGCTTCTCTCCTGGATGGCTCCTGGAAACCCATTGCTTATGGGTTTCCTCAGCAGACATTCCACTTTCCTAACATCACAGGATCCTGGGGTCTCCATTGCAGCTTAGGCTCCATAGCTTCATGCCCCACTCGCAGGGCCTTCCTGCAGGGATCCTGACCCTGCCACACATTGCCTGGTCTCCCAGCCCTTTCTTTGAAATCTGGGTGGAAACCTCCATGAACACCTAAGTCTTACATTCTGCTTAAAAACCAGCATCTTATGGACAACACCAAGGGTTACCATTCCTTGGACCGCAGCTACACTGGCCTCTGAGTGCCTAGGCAGCTGAACCTGGGACTATACTTTCCTAGGTGGCCCAGTGCCAAGTCCCCTACAGCTCTCTTCTCAAAGCAGTATTCCAAGTGAGTTAAGACCTTTACACCCTTGATCCTGGGGTAGGTGGGGCTCAGCCAATTCCTATAGCCTCCAAGTAGCTGGAATGTCAGGTGTGAGCCACAGCACCCAGGCCCAAACTGCATGTTTTTCAAATCCTTCTTCTCTTCATTTTGTTGCTGATTCTCATGGCTAAAGGCAGCCAGCAATAACCATGCCACAGCTGAAATTGCTCTGCCAAATTAGTCCATTTAAATTCAGCCTCACTCAAAGTCTCAGGACACAGACAAATGCAGACAAGTTCTTTGCCAGAATGGCATGAATGATCTCTAGTCCAAATCCTTGTTCCCATCTGGAACCTCACAAGCACAGTCTTTACTGCCCATATTCCTACCAGAGCTCTGGTCTTGTGAGCTCCCACTAGCATGGCCACTAAGCTTGCTTAGAGCATTCTAGAGCTTCTAGCCCACTTCTCCAAACCCTTCCACATTCCTCCTGCAAATACTTAAGTCCCAAATACTTAAGAACCACTTGTCAGGGTTAGTCACAGCAATGACCCCACTCATACCGATTTTCTGTATTAGTTACTTTAACCATCACATGACAGAACACCTGACAGAAACAACTTAAGGCGGGAAGGGTTTATTTTGGCTTACATTTTCAGAGGGTTCCATGGTCACTTGGCCCCATGCACTTGGGCAGAACATTATGGTGGTGGAAGCACATGGTAGAGTAGGTTCTTACCTCATGGCAGACAGAGGAAGAGACCAGGGACCAGATGTAACCTTCAAAAGCACACCCCCAGGGACTTCCTCCAACTAGGTCCCATTGCTAGTCTCCAGAACCTCCCAAAATAGTGCTACTAGCTGGGGACCAAACATTTAACACTTGAGCCTGTGGGTGGGGGGAGGCTTTCCACATTCAAACCTAACAGGCCAGATGTGCCATCCTGGTTCTGCTCACTAGCAGAACCCCTTCGCTCTTCCAGGGACAGCTCCCAGTGGGCTAGGACACAGTCGCTGTCCCCTTCCCGATGGCCTGCTGGACACACATCCATAAGCAACTTCTGTCCATTTCCCTTCTCTCCAGCACCCAGTAGGAGGTACATCAGGAAGCCCTGGGATGGGTTGGGAGAGGCAACTCTTCACAAGCAGTGAGCTGGAGTCCCCTCAGGATTCCCTTCCATCTCAACCCACCATCCAGAACATTCCATGATGGAAGCTGTGTGAACTTGGTTCTTACTGGGCAATTGAGTCCCATGGCCAGGTGGCAACCAGTGCTAAACCTTCACCAGGGCTCAGTAGCAAATCTGGAGCAGACTTTTCTTTTCTTTTTTTGTGGTACTGGACTTGAACTCAGGTTCTACACCTTGAACCACTCCACCAGATCTTTTTTGTGATAGGCTTTTTCCAGATAGGGTCTCACAAACTATTTGCCCAGGCTGATTTCGAACCATGATCCTCCTGATCTCTGCCTCCTGGGTAGCTAGGATTATAGGCATGAGCCACCAGCACCCAGCTCTTTTTTCTTTTTTGAGAAAGGATCTCACCACACAGCCCAGGCTGGGACTGGAGCAGTTCAGATCCATTACCTAGCAACCCTGGGAGCCTGTACACTTCCCTTTTCCCCAACAAAGGACCTGGAAAGTGGCCCAGGTCACCTTTCATGCTTGGACATGAGTCAGCCACTGTTTACCAGGTCCTCTTTCATGGGACCTGGCTCCCTTCTAACCATGGTTCTGCATCCATGCAGTGACTTAGATCTAGATCCAAGACAAGGCCTCAGAGCTGCATTGTGGCCATCTGTGCACTTCTTCTGCCACCATTCTCAGTGAGTGGGGAGTGCTCATCTCACTGGCCATCTTGGTGCTACAGACACCCAGGGTCAAATTGTTTTGGAAACACTGCCCTTGGAAGGTAGGTTATGAGTCAGCCTCTGTCCTGCTGGAGTCCAGGCATTTTCAATGGGTTCTAGGTGCTGCTGTGAGTCTGGGGACACTCGAGGAGGTAGCCTTGCAGTGGGAGAGTCCCAGCCTCTGGTTGCAACAAGTGCAGGTTGGATGAACTACAGGCCTCCTGGCCATCCACTGCCTGCTGGCACCTCAGGACCCAGGCCTTGTGACTGCTTGGGGCAGGGAGGCACTGGCTCTCAAAGTGCAGATCTACCTGTGAGGTCCCAGCTCCTGCTAGACACCTAGTACAAGCATCCCCTGTCTGGTGCACCCCTCTCTGGGCTTGCTGGTGGCTAGTTTAGGGCAGAGCAGTGGCAGTGGGGTCCCAAGAAGAGACGTCACCAGCTGTCCAGGCAGCTGCCTAGGTACAGACAGGCTTGTTGCAAGGGGGGTGCCCCTCCTTTCCCCCATGCCACCCTTCTCAGCCTGTCAACAGGGTCAAGCCTCCAGCTGGACTGCTGCACTCAGAACCAGCAGGTCATCCACTCAGCAGCACAGGGGTGGACTGCAGAGCCCTGCCCTCAACTGCAGCTCCTAGCTCCCTTTGCCTGTTCTTGTTCAAGTGAGACGTGGAGGATCCAGTCTTTAGAGTCCTCCTGTTGCCATGGCAACCTGGTCTCCCAAAAGGTACTCTATTCCCACCGCTGCCATCAGGGTAATGTGAGTAACCACAGTGCCTTTTCCCC